GCTCTGTGGGACTTATCAGTCATTGCCAGTCCTGGGACACCCATTTGCTGTGCGGTTGACTGAGACATTTTGAAGTCTAATGGAATAAAAGTGCATTGGGGCCCTTGGAACTTATTCTGATCACAGATGTATCCCTCAATCACAGGATCAGTTCTAAGTGTCACCATTTACACTATTTATTTATTTACTTATGTCTTTATTTCAGTACTGGAATTGAACCAAGGGCCTTCCCACTGAGCTACATCTCCAGCCCTATGTATTTATTTACTTATTTATTTATTTCAGTTCTAAATTTTGAAGCAGTGTTTTGCTAAATTGCCCATGCTGACCTTGAACTTGCTATCCTCCTGCCTCAGCTTCCTGTAGTATAGGGATTAGTGGGCCTGTGCCATCACACCTACCTACCATGTACTCTCCTGAGCCTGACTGTCTCGTCAGAAAAGCAGTCATTAGAAAACTCATTTCAAGAACCCAGTACTGTAATCTTTTTAGGCTGAAAACTTCTTGTAGGTTTTTTAAGGTTTACCACTTGTACGAGAGGCTAGCACTGACTGATGACAGGTCTGTGGCGAAGACTGTAGGTAGACTTCTATTTATTTTGTTCTTTCTATTTATTTTTGTTCTGGGTATTTTGTACAAGAGCTAATGAGCATAAGAGGAAAATTGGCAGCGAAGCCCCTTCGCTGGTTACCTGCTAAGCTGGTAAACAGTGCTCAGTCCACCCTTCTGTGTGAGCAGGGCAGGAGTGTTTAAGTGTCCATTCCGAGGCCTAACTAAAAGGTGCTTCTCTTGATCCTCAATGCTTAAAACACAACTAGAATCACCATTGCCCTGGCGTCTGCAGCATACTGAGGTCATTAAGGGTTCCTCAAAGAATTCCCGAGCAGCCACTCCTGGGGTCCTGACATCACATGTCCATGTTCACCTCACCAGCGGCCTGAGCAGCACCAGGACTCTTTGATTTTCCAGCTGGACCTTCCCAGGCAAGGACAAGGACCCTGTTACCCAAGATTTACTAAAACACCGACAACATCAGTGACAATTACAAAATAAATAAATAAACAAAAAAATGAAAATATGCAAAAATGCAGGTATCTAGCATGTTTACAAAGCACAGATTTCTTACCCTAGAATAATTAAAGCCTGTCACTGGTTTGGCTGGTCGTGTGTCTGGCTGGGCTCATGGCTTCAGATTCCTGGTCGACCTCATCACCGCTCCTCCATCACACCATTCTGCTCCCTGGTCTTCATTTTTGGGAGCGTCCCATTTGGCTGGACTCCTGCTTTTGTGGGTTCTGCAAGGGAAGAGCCTCTGTGCTGAGCAAGGTACTCTGATGGTGAAGAAAACCCTTTCCCCGTGGGGTCTCCAGTTTCCTCCCTGGCCCTTCCAGCAATCCCAGTGCACAGATCCTCAGCTGTTATCCCACCCTCAGACAGCAGCCCAGGGAGCAGACACCAGCCCCATCCCCAGCAGTGGGTGCAGAAGCCTCCCTACTTTCTCGACTGACTCCTCCCCTGCAGCCAGCCACAGAAAACCACCTGTTTTGTGTTTTGAAAGCCTGCAAGCACCCCCATCCTTCAACCTCAAAGACCTCCCACTGAGTTCCAGTTTCCATCCACAGTCCAGATTGGACTTCTTGACTCATCTGAAGGACATTTTGTAAAAGCCACATACGCTGAACTCGTTTACACAGGCCAATCTTTTCTTCCTGGCCCGGTTGCCCAGGCAGGACACATGGTCTTGTAAAGTCCTAAGCCTGGCAGCCCCCAGCAGTAGTCATCAGGCTTATCAGAGATCAGAGTACTTGCAAAAGTCAGAGTTATTTCTATGGGCTCCATGTAACCGGTTAGTCCCTGCAAACACGCTAGAAACTATTTACAAGCAAAAATTATGACCTTATTATGTCACACACTATAAAATCACAACCACAAGAAAACAGGTTCAGGCATCCACACATGCATGTAGGAAACTACCTGATTGGAAATTTCTAAATGTTCTGGTGATACTAATCTGTTCAGTATCTTTTTAAGCCTTCTGCCAGCATTTGCTACTAGGCAGGTACAGATATCAAGAGGTTGGAGAAGAACTTTTGGAAGATTAAGAAGTTTAATGCCACTAAGCTCTCGAAAAATAGGAAGCAGAATAATGACCTTGCTAAAAAGTGCATTTCCTCAAAGTGGGGGAGGGTGTGAAGATGTGACCTGAGGTGCAAAGAGGTCTCTTCAGATGTGGTGAACTTAAGGATCCTAAAATGGAGCTATTTCCCTGCAATGTCTGGATCACAAGAGTCTCTGCAAGTGAAAGGAGAGTCAGGGGAATTCAAGACAGCAAAAGACAAGAAAATGCTAAATCGCTGGTTCTAAAAATGAAGGGAGAGGCTGTCCACTAAAGAATTCAGGAAACCTCTAGAAACCGCAAAAGTCCAAAGAGTGAATTCTCCCGAGTCTCTCGCAAGAATGAGGCCCTGCCAACATCTTTATTTTAACCCTGAGAGACCTATTTCAGAATGCTGACCTCCAGCACTGAGATATAAAAAATGCACATTATTTTAAGGCACTACATTTGCAGTGATTTAGTACAATGGAAATGAACGCTCTCCATGAACTTGTTTGGAAAAAGAACACCTTTTTTGGATTTGATGGGAATGTTCCAGAACAACATGAGGAATAGAAAGTGCTGCCATTCATTCTTGTCATGTCTCTCACCATCTTCGCTAAGCCAGGACCTGTACCATGGGATAGACTAGCAGGAACCTTCTGAGAGAGGTATTTTTTGTATGCATTCATTAAAGAGGAAGAAACAGAGATTCAGAATTGTTCAGTAAATCCCTCAGAGCTGCACATTTGTAGTTGATAAGTGGAGAGAAAAGATACAAATCTGATTTTAGCCGCTTCCAAAGCCCTTACTATCTCCTCTAACTTAGCTCTACGCCCTTCTCATGTGTTCTGCAGCTGCACCTCAGCCACCCACTGGAGCACTTTTTGTGGGGATTCTTCCACTGAAAATAGCAGGTCACAGTCACCACTGCTGCTTGGAAAGCTCCTTTTGGTGCCAGAAAATGCTTTGTGTGGGAAGCTCCTAAGTCAATAGTCTCATCAGAGATCCTCTATTTGCTAACTGGATTTAGGTGCACTTCTCAGGGGCCAGTCTGATTTTAGCTGATTTATAGTGGCCCATGAATCCACCCTCTGTGCAGATGGAGCCCGGGCACCAAGCACTGTAGTCTTTCCCCAGGGCTGATGTGGGATGAAAGCTTGTGTGTGTCTGAGATGCTAACCGGGAAACGGTGAGATGTGTCACAGAGCCTGAGTGCCACTCCCAGAAAGAGCCCAGTGCATGACACTGTGTGCTGATTAAGACTTCACAAGTCTTCTTGGATGGATTTCAAGGTGACCAGCATCCCTGTTTGCCTGGAGTCCTCTAGAGGAGGGTCCCTAGGAAGTAAGACTTCAGCATACTAAATTCGGGAAAGTCCTAGGCATCTTGATAGGAAACTGAGGTCCATGGAAATAAATTCATGAGTAGATGGCAGCGCCTAGACATCAGAGAACTGAAGTCAGGAATGAGTCTATGTGTGTGTGTGAGTTGTGTAAATATGTGCATATACAAGTATGAGAGAGTACCTAGTAAGTTCATGGGTTTGTGTGCACAAAAGCATGGGCATGGGTCAATGCAAGATTCACAAATGTGCATGTGTGTGCTTGTGTGTCATTGTAACAGTGTGAATGCTAAGTGAATAGGTGTGAGAACTGTGCATTACATGTGGGAGTGTATGCATATGTGTTCACATAGACATAGTGGTGCATGTGTGTATGTGTGTGTGTGCATAGGCATTCTGGGGAGAGCAAGCCTTCACATCTCAGAATCACCCTACTGCAGTGGTCTCTAAACATCAGTGGCACATGCCACCCAGGCTGGCCCTGAGTCCTGCCAAAGAGCAGCTGTGAGGAAAGTTTAGCCTGCTAGTTCATTGAACTCAGGAGTAGAGATTGTACATTTATTTTGCTCTATGACAGTATAATTAGCTTCCCCTCCAGTGAGGAATGAAAGGGCAGTGCGCTCCTGACAGCTGTGGGAGCTGCCTTCCTGCCCCGATAAATCTGGTCTTCACGATACCGTTACACCTGTTTAAACAAGGAACAGGATAGGTATTTATTTGAAGTTCAAGAGGCCATAGGAACCCTGGTCTAAACCTAGGCCTGGATATAATTAGAAAGATACTTAATTCTTTGTTCTGAAAGATTTTGCAACCCACGGTTTCCTCAAAGCTGGAGCAGTTTGCTTAAATTCCCAGAATGCGGCCCTCCCAGAACGGGTGAAGGCAGGGCGAGGACACAGTCTCAGTGCTCAAGGGTGGGGTGAGAAGGACCAGGGCAGCAATTTCTGGACCTCAGTAATCACGGAAGCCCGAGCCCCACAAGGATTCCTTGGTCCTCCAGCCTGACCTTCCCAGACTAGGGCAAGGACCTTGTTACCCTTTTTTAATTTAAAGTTCTGCACGGTGTGATGGCACTTGCCTGTAATCCCAGCACTCTAGAGGATGAGGCAGGAAGATCCCTGCAAGTTCGAAATCAGCTTGGGCTACAAAGTGAGATCAAGGCCAGCTTGACCTGCATAGCGAGACCTTGTTTCAAAAAAACAAATAAAATAAATAAAAAGTTTTACAACACTTTAACACCAGACAACAACACAACCACACAACAACAGTTATACTAACATAAAAATATGAATTTCTAGTTCCACATAAGCAGTTTCACCTCACTTGCAGATTGCATTAGAAGCCAAACTGGAAGCTCTTTGTGAAAGTAGGGTTGGGACAAACACCCTCCCGAGGCCCTGCATTTTTCTGCAGGTGACAGAGTTGCCAGCACCACTAAAGTAAGGCAGGAGGACCGCGCAGGGCCAGATCTGCTAGGGGTCCTAAGCAGAGGGCACCTAAGACCTCGCCGAGATGTACGGCTTGGTCCTGTAGAGGGAGCCGCTGCAGTTCTGAGTCCCCGCAGGGCGCGGGGCGGAGCCTCGGGTATGAGAGAAACTGGAGGCCGAGACCCAGGAGCAAAGGACCGCAGGCGACAGAGGCTAGGAGAGGCTGTGCTGGGCCCAGGAGCGCAGATCGCCGGAAGGAGGATTCTCCAGCCCTGCGTTCCTGGACGAGAGAGGAGGGAGGTCCGCGGCCTGGGCATCTCACAGAGCTGGTGGCAGTGTGTCCCGAGAGCTGGCTTGGTAAAGGACGAACTTCCGGGCAGGCTCGGTGTCATTCTTGATCTGGGAGGTATTTGTATTCTGGGAACCCCTGCTGTTTTCAGACAAAGAGGTCCCCTTCTTTTGCTCTGCCCGGAATATGACATCCTAATGGGAGACCTGGGTTCTTGAAGTAGATAAGGAGTTCCAGCAACTCCACGCCAAGGCACCTGACAGACGTATGGAGGATGTTTTACCTAAATGTGTGCAAGTTGATACTAGAAAGTCAAATCAATCTGTAATGTTACCTGTTGTGGGATAGGGAATGGGCCAGCTGGCATGGACCTTTGCTTTTCAGGACTAGCAGGAATTAACATACTAGAAAGTTGATGAGGAAGGATAGAGGGTGTGGAATCAGATACTTCCCACCTTCAAGCCTTAGTCTGACTTGCTGCTTGTTCGGGAAATGCACATTGCCACCGTCTGGGAGTAACATGATTTCTTAGGCAAATACAGTCGCTTCCTATGTCTGAATGTTTCTTTGCATAACAATGAATTTACTGAACAGATCCAGAAATTATTACAAGGTCATATAAACCATTTTTTAAAAACAATCAAAACCTACTGCAAATCTACATGGGGCCGCTTTTAAAGAACAATAGCAGCAAGAGGGTACATTTAGCTCTATTCTCATGTAAAAAGAGGCTTGTTGTTTTAATTAATGGGAAACTACATTACTGGACTTCATTCTGTGTTTTGCATGAAATCCCTTAATCCTCAGACGGATGACATTTCAATTACATGCTTTTGTATTCACTTGTGAAAAGAAGCAAACTCCATCCTGTCTCGTAAAGCAACTCAAAAAATAAAAATAAAAAGATGCAGTCATCTTCAGTTCTCTTTCATTGGAAGTTTTGTTCAGAAATGAAAGGTCTACTGGCGTCTGCTGTGATCTTTGTGATGGAGACACTGAACACTTATGGCATGTCGGGCCCTCTCTGAGCTGTGTACAGTCACAGGCCACTTAATGACAGGGCTAGTTCTGAGAGATGTGTCATTAAGCAATTTGATCACTGTGAAAACATTATAAAGTGCACTTACCCAGCCTAAATGGCATGCAGCAGTCACGCGACATGGCCTCTTGCTTCAATCAAGAGACATGGAAAGCAGAAAATGTGTAAGACCCGCGTTTCACAGCTTCATTTTTCCTAGGCAGGAGCACATGCCAGAATAACTATAGCTAGTATACTGGTGTACATTAACCTATAACACAACTGTTTATCACTATGAAGTATATGTACTATTTATAATTGCATGCACAATACTTTTATACAACTGGCAGCCCAGCAAGATTATTATACCAGCATCACCCCAAACTTGTAAATTATGCTTTATGCATAATTTATATTGTAATGGCTTTGATGTCACTGGGTGACAGGAATTTCTAACTCCATTATAACCTTATGGGACCACCATACTGTAGTACATGTGGCCTATTGTTGAATGGAACGTTGGCATGTGCGGCATGGGATTGTGTATTAATTCATTTAGTTCTTAAAAGCAACACTTGGAGGTGGATATATTATTATGCTGTTTACAGAGGAGGAAATTGAGAAAACAGTACAGTGCCTAAAATCGCAAAGCCAGAAAATGGCAGACTAATCTCGGAGTCCAGGCAGTCTGACTCCCACACGCTAAGCTGCTCTGCCCGTTTCATCATTCACACATCCTGGTGAAAAAGACCCACGCTCCATCCCATCTCCTCTAGATCAACTCTAAACAACCCTTGACCACCTTCTGTTATCTTCTACAGTAAGTTTTGCTCAGGCATGAGAGGTGTGCAGGAGTCTGCTGCAGTGGGGACAGATTTCCTTTGTGTGGTGGAGCACAAGGGGCTCTGAGCCTTACAGATTTCAGCCGATTAAATCTCCACCTCTGCCCACACATTAGCAGATTTCTTGGTAGCATATGGGAGCTTTGAAGTCAGTAAAGTCATCACCTGGCATACAAGTGACAATCTTGAAGTCAACAAAGCCTGGTGTGCAAATAACAATCACATTGAGGTGTATGTAACTGGTAGGTCTCAGCTGAGTTGCTCAGAAAGGGATCTGTTGATATTTTTTCATGAAATATCCTTGAATGTCATACTCTGTTCCAAATATAGGAATAGTTGCTCATTTTAAGAGCAAGAACAGCCAGTTTAGAAAAAGGAAGTCAAGATGAAGCTTCTCTTACTGAGAGTGCTAAGAGCCTCCCGAAGCCTGGGGCCCATCTAGGCTAACAGAATAATTTACAAGGAGGCCTTGGCTGCCTCCCTGTAGGAGACTCACACTCTCCTTCTCGAGTACATGGAAGGAGAGCACATTTCTCAGACTTCTTGCAGTTGGACACAGATATGGGAACAGTTTTGTCCAATAAAACGCGGGTGGGAACGGCACACGCTACTTCTGGGATGAGGCAGTGAAAACCTCCGTGTGAGTTCCCAGCTTCCCTGCGCTCTTCTTGCAGCCAGTGGAGGCCTTGAGTTGATGATACCTTGGACCTGCAGAGTGGTCTGAATCACCACGTGGAAGACAGCTCCTGGACAGGTAGGGCACTCGGGGTAAATGGGAAGATTTGTTGAATTAAAACGCTGAAATTTAGGTATTGTTTGCTATTGCAGCAAAGTGTCACCTACTTTAACTAATATACTCACCTTTCTTAGTCTTTTGGTTTCCTTTTCTTGTACAGGCAATTTACCAACCCCCTGTATTTTTCAATGCAGAATTTTAAAAATTCCACTTTCTCTGCATTCCTATCATGAACTTTGCTTTGGGATCTAACAGACTTGTAGATATATGATTGTATATGACCGGCATGTTTATATCATTTGCCAAAATATTCTAGTCTGCTCTCTGCCACACTTCTTCCTTCTTAAGAAAATCTACAAAAGGACTCAAATATGTATAAATACCCCAGTTAAAAACCTACCTTGGATTCATTGTTCTTGAAATTTCTTCACATGTACTTCAGAGTCTTTTTATATACTAAATAAAGTTGGGCCACCTTTGGAGAATTCACCTAACTCCCATCACTTTGGTGGAGCTGTTTGTGTCACATGCCTCATACTCTGGGGTAACTGGAATAGGACTGTGGGGTGTTCACATGGAATACTTTTGTGCTTACAAACACACACACCACCATATATGTACAGAATAGCTGAATTTGATTGACTCAGAATAAAATGTTGAGATTTGTAGCAGGAAACTTGGACAAAAGATAGAACTGGCATTCAGAATGTGGATTTTCAGTTTTGCCTGGTATCACCAAATGATTCTTGATGAGGTGGTCCAGCTCACGTAGATGGCAGTATTTCTTATGCTTTCATTCTGCACTCACCTCTTTACCCTGTGGCCTAAGACAGAATGAGTTGTATATTTAACCTTCAGAAAGTCTTCCTAGCTAACCACTCTTATCTGGATGATTGTATTTGTTGAAAAACATACTCATTGTAAAAAAAAAAAATTAAACAATTCATAAAGGCAATTGCCTGAAATCTGACCATCCAAGAAAAATTATTAATATTTTGGTAAATAACCTTGCAAACATTTCTGGCAGCAGTGGCTAAGTGTGTACAGCCAAGGCTGTGCTCATCTATTGCCTGCCTTTTTGCCTGACAGTAAAATTATGAACACCTTGAGACAGTTTTCCAAAACCACAAGACCTCTCTGCTTTTCTCTGGCTTGGAATAGTGTCCAGGGTTAAAACTGAGAGGCAGGGAAAATAGGAGGGTACACAGGGGTGGGTGCAAGCTCCCCATAATTTCCTCCTGGAAGGAAAGTGCTGCCACCCATTGTCACAGCAAGAGCAGTCTGCAGAGTCAGGATGCGCTAAAGCCTCTGGCTTACTCCACAGCAATCACTTCTCTGTTACCACCCATCTTCTGCTAGCTGTCCCCCTGCATCCTCCGTGGCATGAGGAATGAAGAGGATCTGATGACGTAGGAGACTCGAGGCCCCAGCCTCACCACCCGGAATATGACAAGAATATGAAATGTCTGCTGACTTGGGAGTTTGCTTTTCCATCTCCCAGCTCAGGGAAGAGGGCCGTGGTGCCTCTCTACAGCTCTCTGACTGAGAATCACTACTACAGTCACTCTTGCTGGTAGGTAAGGATTTGAAAGGCGATTGGACAATGAGGACACTATAATTGCTATTATCCTAGGAGGTGGGGCTTGCTCAGAAAGAGCAGGTTACTGGAGGCTTGGCCTGGAAGGGTATGTCTCCCTCCTTGGCTCCTCCCTTGGCTCTTTACTTCCTGCCTACCATGAGGTGAGCCCCTTTCCTCGGCCCAGGCCCTTCCACCATTACATTTCTACTTGGGGCCAATTAACCATGCAAAGACTGAAACTTCTGAAACATGAGCCAAATTAACTTCTTTACCTTTTAATTGTGGGTGACAGGTATTGCATCTCAGCTATGAGGAAAATAAAACAGGGACTATGCCCTGCAGTACATAAACCTTTGGGGGACAAACCACAGCAATAGTGAAGAAGGCCTTCTACCGGTCAAAGGCATGGCCTGCCTTCACCGCTGAGATTGTCTTGCCCAGAGAAGACCCCAGGAGTTGAGGAGAAAACATCCTTTTTTTTCTTTTTGAAAGCTAAATTTTGTTTTCAAGAAATAAAAGAATATGAAATTTCTTGAATTTGATATTGTGGCTTAACATGAAGAGTTGTTACATGGCCAGGAGACCTGGACAATCACGCAGCCTCAGGCCCTGAGGAGAGTCCTCTTTGGTTTCACACTGCTGGTGCATCTTGAATCTCTTCATAATTTTTAAACAAGGAGCTCCATATTTGCATTTTGCATTTATGTGAAAATTGCATTTATGTGCAAATCCTACTACCATACCTTCCTCCAGTGTCCTTCAGTTACATAAGTTTGAAGACTTTTCTCTCTTGGGGAAAATCCTCACTGATAGAGCCTGAGCAGTTAAGGAGAGCATTAGCCACTGGCCAAGCCATACGTACCATGACTGCCTTGGTTCTGCCTGCTATAACATTTGCGTGATTCTCCTTCATGAAAGTGGTTGTCACATACATCATTTTTAATGAAAATATAACCAAATATAAATTTAATATGGTTTATCTGAAAATGAAATGTGAAACCCATGGTGGCACATAGTAAAATTAGCTGAGATGAGAAGGAGGCTGCTCATGGAAACATATTTGGGTGGATTTCAGAAGAGAAGACTCGAGAAATCCTGGGAGCTCTGTGAGTCACAGCCCACCCAGTCTCCTCCCAGTGACACATTCCTGCCCAGCACTGGCAGCTCAGAACATTCCTCCTACAGAGTCGGCCCCTGCTTGTTCCTTGGCTTTTCATTTGGAGAGATCTTTAGAAGTCATCAATCAGTCTGCCACATTTGTCATATATTTGGAGCTGAGTAGTTTGCTTTCAAAGTTGTCAGATCCTGACATTTGTGACATTTTTGTAGTTTGTTCCTAGGTTCTTTGGGCTCATAAGGACTCGTTTACACAAGAACATTTTTCTCCAAGATTCTGAAATTCATTCACCTTCAGCATGAGGCTTTCAGAGTCACAGTGCATGCTGATCATGCACATACCCAAGGATGTCAAAGGTACAAGTGTGACCAGGAGCCTGGCAGCTGAGGCACATCCCTCCTACTCCATCTCCTCTATGCCCACAGCTGCTCACATTCCATTAGCTGCAGGTTTCTTTTTCTGTCATGAAGTAAAGTCATTACACAGCCAGAGAGTCGGTGTCCAGATACGGTGCAGGGCCTGCTAAGCAAGACAAGCCAGCTGCCCTTGCACCTTCAAGGAACTGCAACCAGCAACAGTAGCTGAATTTGAATAAATCCTTCTGAGCGTGCTTTCTAATTGTTCTGCACTAAGTGTGCATTACTTCTGTAACATCTTCCTAAAGTATAAGGAATAAGGATTGTCATGAGTGCTATAAATGTATAAAGTGCTCATGTACAAAACACATACCTGTTAGAATTTCTTCAAGGTATTAAAGGAATTGCAATCTCAACACTAGCAAGCAAACCCAGTCTGGGAACCAGCACCATGTGTGGGCCCAAGTCTCTCCCAGTGAGTTCAGTGCCATTCGTGGACCAGGGTTAGAGAGAACAAAGCCACGCCAGCAAGCAAGCCCAGTCTGGGAACCAGCACCATTCGCAGGATGCTGCCAGATTGGAACAACCAGAACCTCCCAGCTCCTTCCAGTGCATGAGCTGGCAAACAAGAAGTACCAAATACCCCACACACACCCCACACCCCACACCTCCACCACCACCCCACCACCCCACCACCCCATAAGCAATTGGCTTATCTGAAGAAACCCAGGCTGTGATGATAGCAATGGAGGTGAAATGCAATTGGATGCCTGTGGTACTTGGTTGTTTAATAATATTGCAGGTCTAGAGGCAGTGGTCTAATCACAGAGGATAGCAGTATACAGTGTGGCATGTAGGGGGATCTCCTTCTGAGGACTGCAGCCATTGTTGATTCCCTATGGTCTTGATTTGGAAGGTCTGTATCATTTCTATTGTTTTGTTGGGTTGGGTTTTACTCTCTTTTGTTTTGTTTGATTATGTCAAATCCGATGGCAGAAGCAGCTATTTCAAAGATAGCAAGATATATTATGGTAGCAATTTTGGATTTACTATTGTCTTGCATTGAAGTCCTTTATTGCATTCATTGTCTGGTTTTTATTGTTTCTGTTCTGTTCTGTTTGATTTTCACTATATCTGAAGCTATCTGCAGGTATTTTGAAGACATCAAAAGGCATTGTATTAACCATTGTTGATTTCATAATGTTTTGAAGTCCTGTATCTTTTACACTGGTTTGTTTTATTCTCTTTTATCCTCTTTAAAATAAATAAATAAATAAATAAAACAAAAAAGAAGTAGCAATCTCCACTAGATATCTGCTCCTCCTAGTACACAGCTAGCAAATGTTCCCTGTAGGTTTGACTCCATTTCCCCTAATTACCAAGTGGTAATGTAAGTATAATGGATCCTGTCTCTTAGGATCGTGTGTGTGTGTGTGTTTGTGTTCTCAGAACTGGGGATTGAATCAAGGGCCCTCACATTGAACTATATCCCCAGTCCTTTTTACTTTGAGACAGGGTCTCACTAAGTTGTTAAATTGCCCAGTCTGGGCTCAAATTTGCAATCCTCCTGCTTCAGCCTCCCAGAGTGCTGGGATTACAGGTGTATGCCACTGCAGCTGACTCTTCTGAAGCTCTTTCTGAAGATTCAGTGAGTGTTACAGGTGCACATCCATCAGATGTTACCTGTTACTGTGGGTCCCTCTCTCTTTCCCACGCCCTCTCCTTTCCCTGTCCTCTTCACCAACACCACCCCCCCAACCCCAGAATCTCACAGTTGTCCCCGACTTAGGAACATTCACGTTGTGAACTTTCATAGGTGCACTGCGTAAGACTCACTTTGGAGGCTTACAAAACAATCCAACTTATGGACCATCTTCCCATAACCAAACTGGTTCGTAAGTCAGGGACTTACTGAATTTGAACGCAGCTGTCAGCCACCTGGGCTGAGACCGCCAGACTTTCTCAAACTTTAAATGACCATGGGAGCTTATCAAACTGCAGGCCTGCTTCAGAGGTCCGAGGCTGAGACTGCGATTCTGCATTGGTAACAAGCTCCTAGGCCACACTTTGGTCTAGGACAGGTGAGTGGGGCCAAGTTAGCGTTCTTTTAGGATTTCCAGGAACAAAATGCCCTTAGATGTGTTCAGATGCAACCTCTCCTGTGGATTCTCCTCTTTCTTGGGTAGAATTATGTCCGTAAGTAAACACAGTCACCTATTTCAATATGTAAGACTCTGCCCTGCTTCTGAAATATAAAGGCATTTGTCACAACATATGGCCTCTACCCATCAGAGCTTCTATTTGACATGTCAGTTTACAAATCCAGGCGGCCACACAGAGCCTATTTTCAGCATTAAACAAGGACTGCAGACAACAAATGAGAGTGAGACGGGGCCTCTCTTCTGAATTCTGTAAGGAACTAAAGCCTAAATACTTACTTTGAAATGTTAAGGATGAACATATACTCCAGATGCAGGGCGGCATTAATCAGCCTTAACTTTTAATGTGAGAGTCCTGCCTCTCTATACAAACACACTCTCCCCCGGGCTATGGGATGTCCCAGGGTATTGTGGAGCATTCATGGTCACAAGTTTTTCTCATTTCTCATTAGGGGAGGAACTGTGGGTTGAGATACAGAAGTCATCCGGAACATAAACACACAGGCTGGAGGCTGCACCACACCGTTGTTTAGGGAGCACATTTATCTCATTTGACTGCGTTTTGGGGGGCTTTTGGCTCCTGCTTTACTCCATTTGCAGATTATTATTTGCTATGGAAACAGTGATGTTTTCAAAACAGAATAGTTCATCCCCAAAAGTACAAGTTCTTATGAGGTTGAGGAGCAGCCAGCTGAGGTCGAGCCCCTCAGCCCTGTCTCGGATAAAGCAGTCTGGCAGGCTGTGGGGTGGCATGCTCAGGAGAAAGCATCTTTTTTGAACAGCATGAGTGTCTTGGGATAGGTGTATTGGCCTTGCTGAAACAGGATGTGATTTTATGGTGTTGGTGATGGAGGGAACCACATTAGTGATCAAGTGTTGATTTCATGAATGACTATTGCTCTGGGAAGCAAGAACTCTTTGGGGGAGGATAAGGAATTCCTATTAAGTGGGGACACTTTAGAATGTGCACCTCTAGAAATGGGGCTTTTTGGGAATTTCTGGGGTTGAGCAGAAGTTGACCAAACTTCCATAGAAAGCCATGGGGGCAAAATGAGAGCCTTTAGGCCCAGCTCCTGGGCACGCCAGATGTAAACAGCACTGTCCAATACTATTGGCTCTCTGATCAGCACTGTCAGGTGCTAATTCCTTTCCAGGAAGTCTGTCTTTTGAATCTCTCAGTAAACTCTCAATCTGCACTCACAGCCATAGAAACAGACTTTGAATGTTGGTGCGCCCTGGCCCAGACCCACCACAAAGGGACAGAGCAAGAACTTGAGCCCAAGTTTGATTCCAGAATCTACTTTCTTAGCTACAACACTGTGTCCTTAAGGAAAAATACTGAAACTTTATGGTTCAAGTCTATGGGGCTAAAATCGCTTGATATCACTAGGTTTGAGAATCATCCCGACCCAGTGGCAGACCTCACCTCAGTCTCAGGGCCCAGAGCAGGAGAAAGATCAGCCTCCCTCTGCTGGTTTTCACTGGTGACAGCAGTAGCATCAGAGAGCTGAATATGCAGTGATTCCAATGCCACCATTTACAGGGCACCTCCTAAAGTTCTAGGCCTGTGCCAGACACCAAACTGGACCTCGGCTTCGCTCAGATGCTGAGAGTACTAACTCCACTGACAGATCAAGGAGACAGAGACATGACGGTCTCCAGGGATGTATTCCAAGTCACTCAGCTGGTAAAGTGCCAAATCACTTGGCCATCAGAAGTTAGGTTCTGCCTACTCTGTTCCACTGCATGTGGGCAGAGACCTGGTGACAACAGGAAAGTGTGAGGCCAAGGACCAAGCTTACCAAACCAGTGTCCAGAAGCCTTTGAGTCTTGCCGCAAGGCTGAGGCAGGCTCCATTCTTCTCTATGGCCATGGTCTTCCTCTCAGCACCCAGAACCTCTCTTCTGACCAGTGGCCTTCAGTGTGACTTGCCCGTGAATACATCATTCACCTCTGCATTCGTCCCACAAAGCATTACTGTCTCCCTTGTACCAAACTTGGCTCCTTTGGTGAGGATCAGCAGCGCCATCTACTTGAGCCTTGAGTACCCTTCAGGGCTGAGGTCTAGAAAGGAAGATGTCACATCACAAATGCTGGGTTAACTCAGATCTTTCTGGAGGAATAAAAAATTCAAAGAAGGGGAAAGAATTCAGAACAGATGCCATACATAACCTCCATGTAAAAACTCACGGTCCTGGAGTTCTAATGGCATCTGGATGGGAGAGAGAAGGGGAAGTTCGCCCCACAGATATCTTGCAAACCCGAGAGATACTTGGTTGCTATTTCAGCTGTGTAAAGTACCTATATTAGAATAGACTCAAGAAACAAAACGCAGGACTGGAGCAGAATGCGGGGGTGGGGGGGAGGATTTAATTTCTCAGCTGGTCTTTAGGCAACCCTAGTCACAGGATGTTGGCATGAGACCCAATTTCTAAATTTCTTTCTGATGCATTATCTTTTTTTCAAATCCATTTTATTCAAGAATAAAAAGGAAGAAAGAAAAAAGAAGGAGGAGGAGAAGAAAAAGTATAACAAAATTTCAAAACAATCAATCAAGGGGCAACGGTGGTATATACATTGTACACTGTCACCCCCAAAGCATTTGCCCAGAGCACAAGACATCTGCATTCAGTTGTCCAAACAATACCAGCACAAATCTTTGTCTTTAGCAAACTCAGAGAAATCAGTAGTATAACTATCTTAACTATTTTTTTATATATGCATACACATATACATATGCTTTTTCTTTCAGCTTGTCACACTAATGAAACAATATGATGCTTACACATGTATGTCTTATTTCACTAATAAGTATGTTCTCAAGTTGAATCCATTTACCTATAAATATTCTTCTTTATGGCTCTCTAGTACTCCACTATTTAAAAATACTGCATCTTTTTTATCCATTCTTCAGTCAATGGGCATTTAGGTTGTTTCCAAGATCTGGCTATTACAAATCATGCTGCTATAAACACTGGGCATATTATCTTTCTAAAAGTCATACCTGTCTGTCTCCTCACTCAACCAGCTTCTTGCTTCTCTCGGCTGAGGCTGCACATATATTGCTGCAGGCCCTCAGGGGGCGCCATTCACATCAAAGCATTGTGAATCCAACTATTGGTTCTTTTTTTTTTTTTTTTTTTGTCTTTTTCCTTTTATCGGTACCGGGATCGAACTCACGACTGCCTGCTTGCAAGGCAGGCGCTTATGCTGCTGAGCTAAATCCCCAGCCCCCCAACCATTGGTTCTTAACCTGGGCCACACATTGGAAACATTTAAGGAAACTTTACATATTATTAATGTTTTAGAATACCTTCCAGGTAGTGTTTTAATTGGTTTAAGTAGCAGCCTGGTTTGAAATTTTTAAACTGCCCAGATGATTCTAATATACTTTTATGTTATTCTAATATGTTTAGAACCACTGAGTCAGATTATGCTCTGAATCCCTCCCCCCAGGCACGTGTGGAATATAACCTGCCTAGCCCTCCAAACTGGCCCTGCCTTGTTGGCCCTATGCAATTCCCAGTGCCCCCAACAAGCTGGTAGGAGTCTGAATATGTAATGTTCTGCTTTTGAGGTCATATTTTCCCTTGCATTGGGATTGGGGTTTATGGGAACGTAGGGACTAAACCCTGATCCTTTAAAACCTCTCACACTTCCTGTTTTTTTCTAAGGAATGAGGGAGCGGCGAGGGTCTAATCCTATTGAAAAGTGGGAATCTTTTCCAGCCCAGGCTTGGAGGCTGCCCAGCTCTGGTGCTCTGCTGGGGTGAGCATGCTGTTTTGATGTCTCGCTGAGAGAGTGATTTAGGCTGGTGGAAGAATCTGGCGCATTTCCCTTGGTGCCTAGGTCATTCCCTGGTTGTAAATCAGCCACCTTTCACAGTTCCATTTTCCTCTCTCAACTCACAAGGGAACTGTGTCGTTTTTACTGAATTAGCAATTTAATTGCACCAAACATAGCTCTAATGTCCCAAAGATGTGGCAGCTCCCCAAGGTGTCTGGCTTCCCTTCTTCCACTCTGTCCAAACCTCCCAAGCCCAAGTTAAACTCTGGAAAATTCAAGCTTATTAAATCACAGCCCTTGGAATGAACTTACGTTATTTTGCACATGTCAATACCATCAAACCTGCCATGTGAATTCAATGTCACCAATTCTGTAATGACTAATGGCCTTCAAATAGATGACAGAGACCAAAAATCCCACAAAAAATCCAGTGAAATAAGACAAATATGTGACATAAACAAATCTGCAGTGTCATGGTGTGGTCAAAAGTTTGCCTATTTTACAACTCAGATGCTCTATAACTCACAACTGCTCTCCTGCTGATAACTACATCTGTCATTCTAAAAGTACAAGTCACACTTCTTTGGCTAAAGCCTCGCATCTGGCATGTATATTTATACTTGACATTTCAAAGTTAATATTTTTGCTTCAGCAGAGGGATTCAAAACAAACATATTTTAAGTTCCCAATTCTTGAGCAGACATCAAATCCATCCTGAAGTAAGAGGGAAAAGATGAGGAAGAGACAGACTGACTGACTGGCAAGCACTGGACAGGCTGTTAGTTGTCTGTGCAATACCTACTCTATCCCCAGCCCTTTTGTGGTGGATTAAAAACTGGTGGTCAGCTTAAACACCAGCTGAACTGAATCCGCGTGGTGCTGAGTGTAGATGTCCTGCTGAGGAAAGCTGCCGGGATAAAAAGGAGACCTGGAGAGGAAGAGTAGCATTGTGAGTTCTCATAAGTAGTGTTGTTGTTTGGCGCTGTTGGTTCTTTTGGAGCTATTGGTTCTCCTGGAGGAGCTTGTCATGCTGGCTTCTCTGATATGAACTCAGCCATTATCATCAGAGGAGCTTGGGACTTTGTTGCTGAGAATGGCTGCAGATCACTTTGGGGGAGCTCTGGTCCTTACTTTGAGCATCACTTTCTGGCTCTGGAAGGGAAGATGTGTGTTGTTTAGACTCCAGGAGAAGCTTGTCATGCTGGCTTTCTTGATATGAACTCGGCTGTTCTCATCAGAGGAGCTCAGGACTTCATTGTCACTGAGGATGGCTGTCATACTTTTTGGTGGAGTCCTGGTCCTTATTTTGACCATGCTTCTTGGCTCCAGTACAAAACTCTCAGCCTGTTGACACAGATCCTTCACCCCACTGCCATCGACCTTCTAGCTTCCACCCCTGACCTTTGGGCCTTCTCAGCACAGCTCTATAAAACAGACTTGCATGAGTCATTGTCACGGGCTCTAGGTCTTCAGCTGGACTCATGCAGGTTATAGTCATGGAATCTAGCCCCTTGGCTGGATTCTCCAGGTCATTAGTGTTTGGCCAGATTTCCTGTACTTCTTGTATTTGACTCTTTGAGTGACTATTATAAAATAACTCTGTAAATGATGGGACCTGCATATAGTTTTCCCTCTACCCCCTGACTATGACACCTTTGAAACAGAGCACCAACAAAAGATATTTTCCAGACTCCTTTGCAGCTTGATATGGCTAGACCAAATTCTGGCCAGTGAGGTAGAAATAGAAATATTATCATGTCTTAATATCCATACAGGAATGGTTCTATGATCCCAACAGTTACACAAACCCATGATGCTCAACAACCCCCCACCACCACCACCACTTTTTTGGTGCTCATAGATTCTCAGGTGCCCCAGAATCTTACTTTTGCTTAGAGGACGGTAGTTACAGGGTGGTTCCATGGGCAAGGTTTGCTGACTTTCTACCACTGTATTTTCAAATTCAACCAGTTACTACATACAGTACCGGTAATGGTAGCTTGAAAGATGTGGCAGAGAAAGCAACAATCCTCGTGGCCAAGCAGAGAAATCACTGATGTTGACCCACTCACATCACCAGGGAAGCCTCTTATTTGCTTAGGCCACTCTGGTCTATGGACTGTGGGCAACAGTGAAATTCACTGACGAGAAATTTGCAGGGAGAAAGTGCAGGGATTGAAACTAGAGCCTCAGGCATGCTAAGCACATGTCCTGGCACACTGAGCTACATCCCCAGCCCCAGAGAATTTTAAATTCTGACCCAGAAACACCAATTAAGTGGCAAAGCTGTCTGGCCACACTGGAGATGGACTGTGGAGGAGCCTGCAGCAAAGCCATGACATTGGGCCTTGGAGAGAAGGGATTTTCTTCACGGACACGTGGGAAGGGCACATGTGTCCAGAGCCTGCCTGGCATCACTAAATATTTGCTTTTCCAAACAGTGGAAAAATTTCTGAGCACCTCTAATGCTAATCCTGAAAACAATATATTTTTTTAAAGCATAACACATTAAGATAATGATTACTAGGGGAATAAAATCCAATCTTAAAAATACATAAGTAATTATGTAATACACAAAAAGCTAGGTCCTTTGGGGTTGGTCTTAGCACACTGTCACATTTAAGGGGAAAGAATAAAACTAGGGTCTGCTATATGTAACAGTAAAAGCAAGATCATACTGGTTTAAGAAAGATTTGGAAGTTTGTTTTTCTTTAAAAGAAGTCTAGAGAAGATAATTAAGTAGCATGATAATTATTTGGGCTCCATCTTTCTTTGACATTTAAAAAAACTTTTTTGCTCCATCTTAATAACAAATATTCTGTATTGTCAAGGTCATTTCACGGTTCAAGGTGGCTGGGATCACATAGAAGTTGTATTCTTCAAGAATGAGTTAAACCAAAAAGAAAGCAAAACTTCCCCAGTTATTCGCCTCCCAAATTCACGAATCTCTTAAACTTCTACTTATATCTGATTTCAGCAGAACTAATCACATGGCCAAATTTAGCTGCACAGGCAGCTGGGAAATGTAGTCTTCTATCTGGCGCACACACTCTTCCCCTTATGAGATAGGGTAGTAGTTCTTGACTTTTAGAAGAAAAACCGTCTGTATCTTTCTAAAAGTATTGAAGACTTCAAGAGCTTTTATTATGTAATATCTATTAGTATTTACCATATTAGGATTTAAATCCATCAAATTAAGAAGTATTTTTTATTTACTTAGAAAGTATAGTTACGAGCCATTTACATGTTAAATAAGATATATTTTCTCAGACAAAAATTTTAAAATTAGAATGATACGGTTTTACACTTGTGCAATTTTTAAATTTTGATTTGAAAGAAGATGGCTTAACTTTGACATCTGTTTCTACATTTAATACGTTGTGGTATGTTGCTTTGGTTGAATTATGCAAAAAATATTTGACCTCATATAAATATGCAGTTGGAAAATATAAGAGCTTTCCAGATAATTATGGATATTTTTCTTCAATCTGACAATAACTTTCATATGGTAGCTTTTAAAAGGTTAGTTATAACATGGAACCATATTGATAAATATTTTACAGTTACATTGAAATTCATTGGTCTATCTTACATGTTGAATGAATTTTTATTCATGCATGTTGTTATAATAGTCATGTAGAAAAAAATTGTGCAGTGATTTATACAAACCTCACAAATGTTAACACATTTCATGACATGATTTCTTAAAATATCACTCCCCCTCTTAAAAAGAAAATTCTACTTTTGGGAAGTTGTCAGGCTCACTATGACAAATGCAAGCTTTCAAAATCCTTTATTTCCCCTTGACAGGGTGAATGTGCCCAGTTATTTCCCAGGAAGAGGAGGTCCATTGGTTCAGGGGGAGGAAATGTCTGCCAAATATACAAGTTTGAGTAACCTCGGTGCGTCCACCAGTCGCCCGTGCAAGTAAAAATGGTGTTCATTAAAAGTGCAAGCAGTTCTGCTTACAACTCAGATGTCCCAGTGCTCTTCCTCTGAACACCCTCAGGTCATGCATGCAGTAAGGTATGCTATGTGCATTACCAACTTCCCAGACTACAAAAAAGACATATACTCGGGATGAGATTCAGTCTATTCACAATTTTTATCGTCTTCACAGGTACTTTAAAGTGAAACAGGCAATTTTTATTTTTATCTATGCTTTTATTGTAAGTGGTGGTGAAGAATAACTTTTTTTTAATTTTAAAGAGGGCAAAACAAAACAGAACAAAGCAGATCAGAAGAAAACAATGTAAGTGACACAGGATTTCAAAGCAAGACAACAGACTATCACCAGTGGCTACCGTAATATCTTTTATTTTCTTCTAAATAGTTGTCTATAACTTCACACAACGAATTCATACAAAACAAAATAGTATAAAACTGATCAAAACAGAGTAATGAAAGCATTACAGGCCTTCAGAACCAGACAATAGGAAAATCAACAATGGCTGCCATAATGTCTCTTGTTCTCTTCAAAATAGCTGTCATATCTCCATGTATACTGAAGTTAAATAATACAAAACAGACTAAAGCCACTCTGAACAAAGAATAAAAGCATTACTGGATTTCACAGCATGACAATAGGAAATCAGCAATGACTACCATAATGTCTCTTTTTCTTCAAAGTAGCTGTACATTTCATCACACATAATACAATCGGTTCTCATAAACTGTTTAGGAGAAGTCTAGGCATATATAAGCCCTACATGTACATTTATCCTTTCTGCATTAGAAGGAAAAACAAAACAAAACAAATTACTAGAAAAACAAGAAACAAGACAAATAACAATAGTAAGATAGGCCTTCAAAACAAGGTAGCAGGAACATAACTAAGGTTGCTATTTACGTAGTAATCTTCAAAAGAATTCCTTGGGTCACCAAATACAAACATGCAAAATCGATCCAATCCTATGAATGTTAACTGTTTTGTTCCAAGAACTAATAGAATTTGTAGCACAATCATCTTAGCTATCTTAAGTGGGTTTATACAAATTTGTGTATTTTTTCTCTTCCCTTTTTTTTTTTTTTTTTCTCTTTTTCCGAGTTATTTTCCCCCCTCTCCCTTTGAGCAGATTCTTACCCTTGGTGAAGAATAAAATTACTGCTACACCGTGTGGCATTTGTATTGGTTTTCTATGGCCCCTGTAACACATTGCCACAAACTGGGTAACTTAAAAACAACAGTTGAGGCAGGAAGTCTCAAATCAGAAGGATGACCACACTCCCTCCGGAGGCCGCAGGAGTCTGTCCCTTGTCTCTTTCAGCTCTGGTAGCTGCTGGCATTCCTTCGCTGGTGGCTGCCAGTGCTCCAATCTCTGTCTTTATGTGGTCTTCTCTCTTCTGTCTATAAAGTATCCCTGTGTCTCTTTCTTGGAGGAGATAATGTGGTCACCCTTACAGACCACAAAGACGGTCCTGGTTAATCACCCCATCTCAAGATGCTTTAATTAATCACATTTGTAAAGACCCTTTTCCCAAATGAAGCAGTGTTAACGGGTTTCAGGAGGGGGCCTCTGGGAGCAGGGCATTGTGCTATTGCTTGCAACAAGCCATCAGTGCTACTGCTTTTGCACCACCAGTGCAAATGTTCACAGAATTAGAAAGGTGAATGACGTTTTAGAATTACCTTGACCTTGCAATCCCTACCCCGCCCCACTCCAAAACAGGTGGACCATACTTTGACAACTACTAAAATTAGTGAGTAAATGTGGGTTGTCCAAATAGAATTCTCTGCCACAACAGCCACGGAAAAGAAGTTAGTCTTTTAAATCCAGGGAAGGGGTTCTTTCTGGGGCGAGGGAAAGGGAGATGCCAGGCCCACTGGACTGCACAGTCCTTTGAGAAGAGGTTTCCAGGGGACTCTGCGATAGAACCAGGGAGCCCCCCCCCCCCCCGCGCGACACGTTGGGGTGTGAGCTTCTGGGGAGGGATCAGATCAGAGCCGCCTACTCCTTCCCAGAAGAAAACCAACGCCAGGGTGGAAAGAAGTGCCGGGCCTAACAGAACCCAGAGAAGTGATCCAGCTGCACACCCGCAGCCAGCCAAGGGCCAGAGAAGCACTGGGGTGCGGGAGGGAGGGGACAGGCAAATGGCCAGAGCGTTTGTGTGAGGCCTGTGCAGGCTGTGGAGGGAGCAGAGACCCCGAGGAGTCCAAGCGGAGGAGTCCAAACCAGAGTCCAGGTGGAAGGGGACAAATGGGCGGCAGGGTCCGGGACCGGACGCCCCCTGTCGGCAGCGTCCTGCTGCTTCTGCTGCGCAGGATCCGGCCACCCGGGCTCCTCCCACGGCTCGGCCCGGGGTACAAAGGTGCGGGCTCCCGTCACCGCAAACTGCCCTGAATGGCTTTCCAGGGTGTGGCCGTGGGGCTGGGCGGGGTTCAGAAACTCTCAGACCCGGCCCTGCAAGTAAGCTGACCCGGACTTCGAGGGTGTGGGCTCTTGCTCTGGACCTTGCCCCGGGGAACCGGAGCCCTGTACAGCACCCGAAGGCCTTTCCTGCACGGGACGGCTCTGCTCCTGCGCCGGGGACTTCGCGCCTCTCAGATTACGTGCAGCGTCTGCACACACAGATGCACGCAGTCACGTCGCTTTTGTGTCTCGTGTCTTGCGTGTTCATCTGTGCACATATTAAGAGTAGGGGCAATGAACATTTTTTACTCTAGGACTCAAGATGAGGTTGACTCGAGAAAATGAGCTGAACAGAAGTGCAAGGAGAGAGTTCATTTCCTTCTCTTTCTCCTGTATTCTAAAAATGTTATGGATAGGTAATATACACATCAGGTATAAACAACTGATTAATCACCACAGATTAAAGTCAGACATGAGTCATCCATCCTCCACCCCAAAAATAATTAGTTCCAAGTGTATGTTCTCTGTTTAAAAAGTTTTCATGCACAGAAATGAATACATACATGAATAGATATACTCACTTTTAAAATTATGTTCATTTAAAATAATGCAGGGTTTAGTACAAGACGATCTATATCTTTTAACATCTAAGTATACAGCAGACTTTAGAACACATTTTTTGTATCTATAATTTACGCAAGTTTAAGTTTTGCAACACTGGGCAAATTCTTTGTTACAAGAAAACTTCTGCGTCCTAGGAAATGGATTTTCTTACCAGTTCATCTTGTAATTCATCTTCTTAAAAGCTTAAGGCAAGCAAAATTCCCTGAGACCTTTTTGGCTTTCCAGAAGTGGGTGAGAATTATTTCTGAAGAGTTGTCTTCACTTTCAGAATGTCATCAATTCTTTAAGAGCAATCCAGTAAAGGTTTATTTAGTACAGCTTTCTGTTGATTTTATAACCAACTGCTGACTGCTTGGGACATAAAAATCTTGGTGATTTACAAGTAGTAAATGGGGAAGAAATCCATAAATCATATTCTATAATAAGAGCATGTAGCTGAATACACACGTGTGCACACACACATTTCCAACTTCAAAGGAAGAGTGGTAGACATGTCCAGAAAACACATTCTTTTCTAATTTGAGGAGTGTTGAGAATTCACTGGTAAGAGACCCATGGTCAGTAACCTCTGAGAGTTAAATTGTATCAAGTAATATTTTAATGCAGAGCAAAAGACTTTGCTTTTTTATTTCTTAAAGATGAGATCCAGTTCCTGCTTTTGGGATTTTCAAACGAGGTTTTAAGGAAAAACATTTTCCTATTAAAAGCTTTACCAACCAAGCAAAAAACATACAAGATTATCAAAGTCTTCTGATATTCTTGAAGCTATACTGTGACCAAAAATTCTCAACTATATCCTCAAAGATCTTTCTTTATTAATATATTTTTAAGCCCTTTTTTAGAAAAGAAAACATAACATGCTAATAGTGGAAAAAAATTTAATTCTAGAGGGGGATAATTCTACTGTGGTCCTAGACTTTCATAGATCTGACAGAGGAAATTTAAAGGAAATAATATAAAATTTAATAAATACAAATCTACTGTCATGAATTTGCAAACTGCCTCCCCAAAAGGAGTATAAAACAACTAGAAATTTAGGAATGCATTTAGCAAAAATCTTGTTTGGCTTTAATCCAAGCCAAAGAGAAAATAAGAGACAAAAAGATTGGGGAAATCGAATTCCAGCTAAATATCTGATGATGTTAAAGTTACTGTAAAATTTTTAGGTGGGATAATTGTGTTGTAATTGTTTTTGAGTCCTTATATTGTAAAGATGAGCTATTAAATATTTTAGGATAAAATAATTTGATGGCTTGGATTTACTTTATAAAATTTAATTGATAGCGCACGGGTCTACAAGTTGATAATCACTGAAGTTGGATGGTGGCCACATAGGGTTTCATGTATTGTTCTTTCTTTATTTTAAATCGGTACCAGGGATTGAACTCTTACCAGCCAGAAGCCCTAGCCCAGTCAGCTGCTGGAAGATGTTTGCAGATATGTGAAGTTCTTTAAAAAGTCATTTCCTGGCCAGGTATGGTGGCACACACCTGTATTCCAGCATTCTGGAGGCTAAGGCAGAAGGATCACCATGAATTTGAAGCCAACCTGGGCTATATAGTGAGTTCAAAGCCAGCCTGAACTTCATAGAGAGACCCTGTCTCAAAAAGCAAACTAACAACAGCAACAGAAATCATTTCTGGTGATTAACAGAATTTTTAGCAGCATTCTAAATTCTCTGTAGATTGCTCAGCCACAGGGCCACCCTGGAGGCCAAGAGGAAAGGAGAGCAAGTACAGGCTCCCAGGGCATGTTCTAGTCACTTAGCTCTGAATTCACCTAGCAAGATCACTGTTCCATCCATATATGACTTCTGGGCGGTGCTCTAACCACTGAGTATCCAAAATCTGATGGTATCTGCTTCTTCATAAACACACCTACCTATTCAGACAAAGCCTGAAATGTCTGACAAGGCAGACAAGTTCTGCAAGACCTCAGACTCAGGCCGGCACTGCTCCCCTCTACGCTTGGGCAGCGGGCCGAGAGACTGACCACAGCTCACTATCCCCCTTCAGTCTCACACCTGCACCCCACAAAGTGTTGAGAGAGTGACCAGAGGCAGCTATCTGGATGACAAGATGGAAATTCTATTGGGAACATCATCTTGCTAGTCAGGACATCAAGGCCGGCCTCTGAAACCCTCAAATAAAGATACAATGCAGGATTGAAAGCCAGTGAGTGTGATTTTTGGGTGCATTCTGTGAGAGGATGAGAGGGTGGTGGCAGCTGGGTACTAAGCTTGTACAACCCACAAGGTGCCTTCTATGTTGCTTCATATGGTCCCTTGCCACACTGCTCCTACCATGATGCTGCCTTCTCTTCCTTGTCTAGCAGGCAGCCACAGGTCCTCCAGGTCCAAGCATGGTCTTTACAGGCCATCTGCCCCCAGCCACTTGGCTGTCCCTGTGAATGACACTCACTGGGATTACCAAGGAATATCTCTGACTGCCCATCTCCAGGCAAGTTTTATGACTTTTAGAGTTCCAGGACCCCTCATGGGTACCGGAGGCTAATGAATGGGTGATCTAGATAATTAACCAGTATGTGCTCCCCTTCCCAGAGAAGTTCTATGGGCAGAGCCATATCTGCTATTGGCAGGTACTTGATCTGTCACGGCCTTATTCATGACACAGACTAAATGCTCAGTAAGTAGCTGGGAAGTGAAGGCACAAAGCCCATTTGCTAATCCCAACTGCCACAGGCCCTACTTGCACCATGAGCTAAGGAGACTGCAGCAGTGTCTTTAAGAGCATAGAAGACCTTTGTGATGGCACCAGGGACAGGAGCAGTGGAGCCCACACCCCTGCTGCCACACATGGTACCCCTCATGAATACGTTCTGAGCTTCTGAGCTTCTCTTGATGTTCATTGCAACTCAAATCTATAAGTACAAGGGGTGGTCAAAAGATACAGTAAATGTTAAGGTAAAAAAAAATAATAAAACAATATAACATAAAAGACACTGCCAAGAATAATGTGTCCAAAGCTAGGGGAAGTATTTGGAGACATTCAGTGGCGATGTGTAATAAATGCTTTAATGTAAACATTCACCATATCTTATGATCAGCCCGTTGATCAATTATTTATGGGAACATCTGTCAAATCAAAATGTTATGATGTGTCATCCACCTTTTTCACCAGATTTGACACCATGCAACTTTTTGTTCTTCCTCAAAGTCAAAATGACTCTCAAAGGTAAAACTTTTTAATTGATTTAGGACATCAAGGCAGCCACAACTATACCACTAAGGACATGAAAAAGGGCATTCAGAACTGCTTCAGAAGGTGACAAGAATGATGGAATAGGTATATCTGAGGTGAGGGGAAGATTTTGAGGGGGAGTAACCCCAATGTATCTTTCACTGTAATAAATATTTAAAACTTTAAATATTGACCATATTTGTTTAAGCACACTATATATAAAAATTGTGGGATAGCTGGGGATGGAGGAATATGGTGAGTGAAACAGTGCTGTCATTCATCTACCTGTCAGAGTGCCACCAGCGATGCTCCATCAAGTCCTTGTCACCTAACTTCCTCCCTGGAGCCCTCAGCTAGGTACCCAGTGTCGTCAGCACGTGTGGAATCAAAGCTAATATACCGAATCTATAAATGGAACCGTATTTTCCCATCCTTTATCATCCAACTTGAAAATAAAAAGATTAGTCCTCAATGTAAAAAGTAAATTGAAACAATAATACACCTAACGTATATTACCCATATTCTTGACAAGCTACATAATTCTGATAGAAAGTAAAAATCATTCTCTATACAAACTCAGTGCCAAAACTTTAAAGAATTGCTAAATCCCATATCTTCCTTTAGGGTAAGATACTCTTCATTCAGTGACCTTATCCTTGCAACCTAAGGAAAATGTTTTATTTTGAAACTAAATGATTTTAAACTGTCTCTTTTCAAGTCAGTGGGTCTGTTATGGTTGTTTATTATTCAGTCTAGATTCAAGGAGATGAAGGACATCAGTCTTTTTATGCAGAGGGTGAGCTTATCTTAGCTAGTAAGATTGTTTTTGTAATGCACAACTTTCTAGTGTTGACACAGTGGCTCTACTTTAATTTCACAGGTCCCCAGGACTCTGTCTGCTGCTGTGCCAAGTTCATGCCCAGCACAGACCCTGGACTGGGGTAGACAAGAACCCATTCATATGCATCACGCGTAAAGCTTCAGCCTTGCAGGAGAAAACATCAGTGATTTTATTCATGGATCCAAAACATTTACCCAGAACATATTAGATTTATTCCCATTATTATTCTATCAATACTTCTTCCCATAAGACTTAGCTATCCAATACTATTCCAGCAGGAGACATTACTTTATCTTATTCCACTATATTTGTTCATTTATTTTGCAGCCCTTATGATATCCAGAGTCCTTATGGAAGACCACTTAGCAATCCGGCTGTCTGGTATATGCAGGCTCACTTTGGGACCCAGGACGGGCACAGGGAAATCTCTGCTTGAGCTACTTTCTCATCCCTGCTTCCTTCCCACCCGTACTTTCACCTGGAAGCTTTTAGGTCTCAGAAATCAAGATTTTCCCTTGGCTGCGGGAGTGAAAACTGAGACGCCAATGCCTTCTCATAGAAGGGGGTGAGTGTTGAGGGAAAAGGAAAATTCTAGCTCTTGCACCTTACACAGAGGATTTCTTACCTGCGAGAATTTGCCACTGTATCTGAAGGAACCTTTCCTACCCAGCCTAATCTTTACCAGTCTGAGGCTTTTACTCACTGTTTCCTTTCCCTTTCCCAATGTGGCAGATATCAGTGAGGCTGCCTGGACTGCTCTTCTCTGACTTCTGAAGATAATAATATAGAACGTTCCAGTTGTCAGGTCACAGTGACTTCGGCGCTCATTCCCTTAGCAATAAAGACTTTAGCGAGGGAGGGCATAGATTTCCTCATAGGGAGGAGGAGAGGAGAAGCGAGCATAATCCTCTTCTTCCAGCTGCATCTCTCCTAGCCGGTCAGCACCAAGGCTGGACCTGAAATGAGCAGAAAACTCAAGTGCATTACAACTCAAAGCACCATTGGCAGAACCAGTGTCCCCATACTAAGCAGCAGGCTGCTTGGAGATTTGGACTCACCACCACCTGCTACAGGGACTAAACACAGACACAGACCATGGTTGGGCGCAGGGAGAGGAGAGGCCCCAGTACACACACCGTACCTGCTGTTCCTGCCATCCGTGATGGAAGAGTAGTCCTCACTCTCCACAAATGCAGCATTATCTTGGGGGCAGATGGTACAGTACTGAGGAGGACTCGGCATGGCACCCGCTGCCCCTCCGGAGGGCAGGAGACCACAAGGGTTCACCATGGACTGCAGGTAAGCGGTGTTCATCGCCATCGGCTCTTGAGACCCATAAGGAGGAGGGATGTACTGCACCACAGTGGCTCCGTGGAAGGTGATGGGCTGGTTGATACCAGTGAAAACGAACGATTGTCCTCCTGACGTCTGCTCCGAGTCTGGGACCCTTTCCTCACTTTCTTTGCACAGCTGGCAGGACAGCATTTTGAACTTGCACACAGCAATCAGGATGAATGTCACCCCGACTGACAGCAGGATGGGCCCAAGGAGCTGGGTCCACTCAAAGTGGGAGACACTTTGGTATTTGATCCAGCCCATGACTGTGAACGTGATCCCCACCAATCCCAGAAAGATGCCTGAGAAGAGCAAGGTGGCTCCTGCCTTGTCGTCATCAGACACCTGGATGTCAGCGGTACTGGGAGTGTAAGGAGTAAGCGAAAACACATTGAGAGAGAAGTCATCCAGGTGGCTGCTGCTGGACGCCATGACTGCACGCACAGCACCCGTGTCTCAGAGGGGAGAGGGATGGTGAGAGGCTGGGAGGTGCAGGCTCAGGCTAGTTATAAAAGAACTTTGGGTTCCTGTGCTTAACAGAGTATAACATGCAGAGGGCTGGACTTTGTGTAGGAGAGTAAAGGTCTGAGAAATGAAGCCTAAAGTTTGGCCAGGTTGCCAGCAAGTGGAGGTCTCTGCATTGCAAGTCAATGATAGGCCATTTTTCTAACTTACATTCATTTATTTGCTCATTCAAAAGACACTTGTCTTTTGGTACCAGAGATTGAACTCATGACCTCGCACTTGCCACACAGGTACCTTATGCCCCGGACCTAAATCCTCAGCCCCTCCCAAACCTCTTTAATGCCAGGAGTTACTTTGCTAAAGCCATTTGTGGCACTGTTGTGTGGCCCAATTTTGCCCTACCAAAGCCAGGTTTGTAGAGTTGCAAAGGCATCTCTAGCAGTGGAGAGAGACACTGACGCATCTACCATATGCTCCGGAGCTTTACCTAACTTTGCTACTGGATCATCTCAGAATAGGCGGGCACCTACTATTTAACTGTATGTATTTTCCTGTCCACTTTAGGAATCTCTATAGTAATGATATTCATCTTAGTCTGTTTTCTGTTGCTCTAACAAAATATCACAAAGTGGATAGTTCATAAAGAGAGTTTGCTTCTCATAGTTCTAAAGGCAAGCAAGGCTAATATCAAGGTGCCAAAATTTGATTAGAGTCTTTTTGGTGCATTTAACATGGCAGAAGGCATCACAGGGTGACAGCAAAGGAGTATGTCAACTCAAGTCTCTGTTCTGTTTCTTATAAAGCCACTAATCTCATTGTGGAGCCCCACCCTGATAACCTCATCTATCCCTAATTATCCTGCAAAGGCCATACCTCCAAATGCCATGAATTTGGAGATTATGAGCTGGGGATGGGAGAGACGCATTCAAATCACTTCAATATTGAAGTTTTACTAACAGTTCTCGCCATGCTCTGAGGTCCTGCTCTTTCCTGACCAGCCCCATGTGCCTTTGCTTTCAAAAGTGGGAGAGGAAAGATGCCACAGAAAACTATCCTGTGCCCCACATTACATAAGCATCAAGTGTGACATACCGTCTCCGGGACACATGCTCAGACCTCCCTGCATGGTGATTGCACAGCTCCTGGTCTCTAAACTGAGGCAAACAGCTGCGTTCTTGAGCCTACTCTGTTTTTCAGCCAAACTCTAGCTGGTTTAGCAAAAAACAGCTTGATCCTGATGACAGTTCTGTCATTCATGACCATAGAACTTCCAAATGGCTCCATGAATTTTCTCCCTCACATAATAGTAACTGCGGGCTTCTTCCTTTCTTGGACACCAGTATCTGAATATCTTGAAGCAGATATTTCTTTTCCACAAGTAAATATTATTTCAGCTTCCTTTCCCAGAAAGCAGCTTCCTAAATGTCCTCTGATAATGAAAATCAGCAGGGCCATTCTTACCCACCCGTCTCCACTCCTCACATGGGAAAATAGTCAACATTATCGAGGAAAAAAATACAAGGGCTCCTGGGACCTTGTGTCTCCCATTTCAGAAACAGAGAATCATAACTTGTGTCACAAACGGTGTCATCTTGTTATGCAAAAGTATGTTTTTTGTTCTTGTATACAAGTGCACAAGAAGGTTTGTATGGATACAAAGGGGCAGACTGCAGAGGCTATTAAACTACTGTTCCTCAGGTTCAAGTTGATCTATCTGTACACCGTGCTTTTTAGGAGTGAACTAAGACTTTGAGAGCCACATTTCTACTGATGGCTGGCTTACTATTAAGCATTGCCATAGGTGATATTTCAGGGAGGCTTCAGGGTAAAAGGAGGAAGAGGGATTTGCTCTCTGTTTCACTTGCTATTTCTCTTTTGTCATCCACCTGTTCCTATGACAGTGACAGTTGGTTCCAATTTCCACTCTTTTCCCCTCCTGCTTAGTCTAATCAGATCTCTCAGAGGTACCAGCAGGAAAAGGCCCTCAAAGAGTTCAAGGGTCAACTGCATGACCATCTCCCCAGGCTCTTGGCTGGTAACCCAGCTGCTCGCCAGCCCTGGAAGTGGTTGCGTCTCCCTTCTACCTCAATGTTTTCCTTTTAACTTTTCCATCTTCTAATCCCTGCTTAACCCAAGGTCAGTTCCTCTTCGTTACAAATCATGGATGTGTTTCTGCTTTCTTGAGTGGGTCCTATCTGAAGCAGAAAAGGAGGAGGCAGAGTTAGTGAGCCGTGGAACTGAGGTGGGATCTGGGGACTGGAATAGACGACCTGTTGCGACTTTGCTCTCTAAAACATTGGGATCTCCAGTGCTGTCCTTCTATAGATACAAGACACCACTGAAGATATGATTTCATTGTTGAGACTACTGGGAGTCTGAGTTAATAAATCACTATTAGTTCAACATATATTTTTTTGTTGAAAACATATTTGAATTTTTCTTTACTTTTAACTTTCAAAATGTGTAAATTATCTATTGCCATGAAAAAAGGTGAATTTTCTGTCTCAGCAGTGCAACACTTTCTAAATCATGACAATGTACAGAGTTCTTCTTAGCATGAAGATTCCCAGGCTCTGTGGGACATCAGAGAATCAGAAACCCTGCATGTGAGGCCACAATCCTGTACTTGGTGTATAAGTGTCCTGGGGGATTGTTGGGTTTGCTGAAGAGTGAGGACCCTCAGGTTAGGGTTGAGATGTTGTTGCACTGAATATACCAACTTGAGAAGTGTCCAATGGCCAGGCAGTTTCTCTGTGTCTGATATCATAATATTTGTCAAACCTAAACTCTCATAAAAGGAAGTAGTTTTGCAATGATAGGATAGCTACTATAGGCTAATAACAGGAGACGTGACCAGACACACTGAAGAGGCAGAATGGGACATTGTCATATGATCATTATTAAATATTTGTAAAAGACTAACTTCTCACCAAGAAGCTAAATCTCTGTTTTCATTTAGCAAGCCTGAAGTTCTCTCTGGTTTTGCAAGTCAGTCTCTCTTAAATATTCAGAAATATTCATGCACTGAGAATTTTTTTGAAACAGTATCTTGCTATGTAGTTCCGGCTGGCCTTGAACTCATGATGATCCTCCTGCCTCAGCCTCCTGAGTGCTGGGATAGGTAAGCACCACCATGCTTGGTGATGCACTGGGAATTTGAACAAGTATTATGAGAGACTGTAGCCAGGGACCAATAAATACCCAAAGGTATGCTGCCCACTTTCCTATCCCTCCCATTACTTCCCCATAGGAGACATGGAACAACTTACTGCTGTAGGGTTTGAGCTACCGAGAATCCCCAAAGCAGAGAATTAAAGTACACTTGACTGGAGCAGATGGTCAAGACTGGAGGCCTTCCTTAAACTTGAACTTGACCACAAGAAAGCATAGGAAAAGTGATAAGCAGAGAGGGGCAGAGCAGGCGGGCCCTCTGAGGTAGAAAGATACGGAGGAAAGTCAGTGAGTCCACGAGAAATGGTTGTCTGTCTACGTGCCTAAAGGAGGGAAGTAGAACAAGGATGCATTTATGTCTTTTTCTTTTTTTTTATCGGTACCAGGGTTCGAACTCACGACTGCCTGTTTGCAAGGCAGGCACTTATGCCGCTGAGCTAAATCCCCACCCCCAAGGATGCATTTATGTAAGTCATCTTTTAGATCACATACCTAATTTCCAAACAGGATCAGTAACTCTAGAATCTAAACAAAGGCATCTATTAGCACTCCTTCCAGAGAAAAGCTTAAGATAGAAGTCTGTCTCATTGGGGAGATTTAGTTCAGCAGCATAAGTACCTGCCTGCCAAGCACAAGGTTGTGAGTTTGATCCTTGGTACCAAAAAAAAAAAAAAGACCAAGAAGTCTATCTCATCTAACTATATCTTTGATTAAAAAAAGATGAATTTTTTCCATGGCAAAGTTTTTATTATATTCAATATGCAGTATCAAAATATTCAATATACAGTATCACAGTATCACTCAGTGATCAAGTGATCCAACCCTCAATCATGTTTATCATGATATCACATATAATAAAAATATTCATGAAGTTGTTGTTTGAGAATATTTAGCCTTGAAACCTGGAAAATATTTGTTAACTAAGCCATTTTTTGTGAACAACCTTTGTTACTAAACTGAGTAATTCAATTTGCTTTATCCAGAATTTGATCTTCCATATAGGTATGATAATTCTTCAATATATGAAAATAATAATCAACCCTGAATTCATAAAATTTGGCTAAGTTTTCAAAGTTATGAGTTATCCACTTTACATTTGTTGAAAGTATATATATTCAACATACTATTTCATTTTCAACAAAACTTACTATTTAACCCCCTTAAATAAGAAAACCCAATGGCAATTATTTTGAGGTAGTGTTTTCAACGAATGCAGTAGATGCTGAAGAAATCTCAAGACTTTATCTTGTTGAAAATGCCTGTACCAGTTAAGCACTGAGACTGTCTCTGAGTAAAACATTACACTTGGAAGTTGCTTCCATTATAAATGGACCCCCTCAGTCTCCAGCTGCAGCAGATCTGGAACTAGGTAAGTTAGAGACAAAACGACAATCTTTAAGATGCAGCTACAATGACAAATGAAAACTAGTCAACTAAAAGCAAATGTCTTGCAATAAAGGTAAGTGTGATGAAGCATATTTAGCATAGCAGTTATTCAATGAGTTGGATCTAGATCCATTTTACGTGAATAAGAAAAAATCTACAAAAGTGTTATTTCATTAATGTCTGAGCTTTTGCCAAGATGTTAAAAGTTCATCTCAGTCTCTCACAAATTGTTCAAGATGGATTTTTAGCACATTAAATCACACCTTATGATAGGGAATACCATTTTTGTTTTTGCTTCCTCTTTTGACCTAAATTTCTCTCCAGTCATTTATGGAGAACCACACCTTGCCGAATTCCAGGTAGTGTTTATTCGCTGGATTGGCTGTGGTTTACCTGTAGGATGGACCTAGCTTTTTAGTAACAGCTCAGATATCTACTTCCAGACTTTCCCTTTGTATAAGCTTATATATTAACGTTTATTTCTGTT